TTTTTTCGGCACTGCAAACACTGATATTGATTCATGTGTCATTCAATGTTAAAGATGTTATATTGAAATATAGCAAATTTTCCTGCCATATAACTTGCCACAGGTAGGTAAAGGTCTAAGAAAATCGTACAACAATGTTATTCTAACATGTAGCAACACGTTCAGACTTGCAAAGTGCTTTATTATTAGTAAACGTACAGTAAACATCAGTGGCGGTCGTGTAGTTTTCCTTATTAGAAAATGGAGTTAGAAAAAAAATCAGTGGAATAAAGAAAGTATTATACAGAGAGCGTGTAGAATTATGGGACACCCGTCGTCCATTGTTTAACTTAAAACTTAAGGCACAATTAGTGATATTAATTGTTTAGAAATTTTGACATTTTGGGCATCTGCTGCCTTTGCCAAAATGTAGGCAACCATATATTCCTTTTTGGGGTAAAAATTGCGGTTAGGAACTTAATTCCAATATACATAGTGATTGAAATGTCCTGTATAAATAATGTATTTCTAGACTTGTTGCTGCGAATAATGCGAAAATCTTGCTATGGAAAAGGTTGTTACGGAATTGGATGCTATGGAATTTGTTGCTGTGGAAACAGTTTCAATGAAGACTGCCTGGAAACAGTTGCAATAGAAATAGTTTTGATATACATTTGCTATCGAAACACGCAGTTGCTATGGAAACAGCTCCTATAGAAACAGTTGCTATGAAACGGTGGCCATGAAAATAAGCAGTTGCTATGGAAACAGTTGCGATGGATACAGTTGTTACAATGGAAACAGTTGCTACAAAAAGGGTTTCTATGGAAATGGTTGCTATGGATACGGTTACTATAAAATTATAATGTATTGATAGAAACGGCTGCTATCGATACAAACAGCTACAATGAATACACTTTGTTTAAAATTTATTTTTTAAAAATTTTTGAGGCAAAATACCCAAAAAGAAGTTTGTAAAAAAATGAATCCGCTTCAACAATATAGAACTTATCTATGAATACACTTGGTACTATAGACGGTTGCTATGGAAACGGTTGTTATGGAATTGGTCGCTATGTGGACGATTGCTATGGAAAGAAACAGGTTTTTTTTTATATATTTTTTGCTATTTTTCGATATCTAGAATCCAAATACATAAAACCTCAACACTCTGAAAACAGTTTAACATTTTTACAATGTAAAAACAATAACATTATTCCAAAAGGCTTACGACTTAGATGTCCATATAACATCAATACACAAGTAACAAAAATCTTAAACAGAGCGAGTAAAGCTTTAGTTAGAGAAATAATTCAATATCACAGATTAAATAAAATCAAATTGAAAAACGAAACACTTGACCGAAAACAAGACTTACGATACAAATTCTTCTTTGACGACTTTAATAATATACTTATGTAATTTCGTTAATAAAACCTATAAAAGAAAATTTATTATTCAAAAACAAATTCATAATCATAAACTAGAAAAACTTCTTAACGAAAAAATAAAGACTTTTTAGTATAAAAAATAAACAATTTCTGGACAAAACAATTATAAATTTATTTAATAAATCATTAACTGATGCGGAAAAACTTGTTCGTAGAATTTAAGAAGAAAGAATTTCGTATTAGATCAAAAATAATTATAGAAAAACCTTTCAAAATTAAACAAAACATACGCTCAATGGATCAAAAAGCATTAATGTCTTTAAAAAAAGATAAAACAATTAAAATTTTGCCTGCTGACAAAGGTAATGCGACCGTTATCATGGATTATAATATCTATGATCAAAAAATTTATGAACTTTTAAATGGCAAAAGTTATTCAAAATTTATCAAAAATCCAACAGAACGTTTTGAAATACAAATTTATAGCACTTTAAAAAAATTTAAACATGAATTCACAGATTACGTTAGATCTAAATTAACACTACGCAATAGTAAAACACCACATTTTTACGGAGTTCCAAAAATTGATAAAGTTAATATTCCTTGACGACCAATAGTTAGTAGTATAAATTCACCTACACATCCCTTGGCCAAATATCTTTTAAGCATTTAAAATCCCCTAATAAATAACACAACTTGCTATATTAAAAATTTTGAACATTTTTTACAAAAATTATTAAACATAGACATAAATCCAAACCATATTCTAGTAAGTTTTGATGTTGTTAGTCTATTCACTAACGTTTATGTTGATAAAACTTTAAATATCATCAAACAAAAATTACAAAATGACGTCAATCTTAAAGAACGCACACAACTATGCACATTCTTGAACTTTTAACAATATGTGTAAAATCAATTTATTTTCAATACAATGACAATTTTTATCAGCAAAATTCTGGAATGACTATGGGGTCGCCACTATCCCCATTTTTCAGTAATTTATTTATGGAAAATTTTGAATCAACTTTCATTAATAATTACAAAATTAAACCAATAATTTGGTGGCGTTATATTGATGACGTATTCTCCATTTACAGTCATGGCGAACAAAAACTTGATGAATTTTAATCTTATCTGAATAATAAAGAACCAACAATTAAATTCACTATTGAAAAATTCCTTTTCTCGATATTCTGATTCAAAAAAATTTAGACAATTTTTTTGATAACAAAATAATTATTGAATAAATCCATGGTTTCCCTATTCCCACAATCGTCTAAAGGCGCAAGCTCAAGTTAATAAAAAACTGACGACTCTCGTTACTCGATTGGCCTCAGGAAAATCGCTCAGAATCAATTGGTGACCTTCCTGATCCAGTTCTTCAGCGTCTCCAGGTCCACATCGCCGCTCTTACTGCACGCAAACGACTCAGCAAATTCCACTTTACAGTAGAGACTGCCAAAGGAAAACTCTTTGGAGGGATCGCCCAGTTTTCCTCCAACCGTCTCCTTGGCGTCCAGCTGCCGCAGCTGATTCAGCTGCGTGTTTCGCAGCGTGTTTCTG